ATGCATTATATAAAGGTACAATTCCCAATGAGAAATGTAATTGTGTTGTATACCTACAATGTACCAATAAAAGAATTTAATGCAAAAAAAAAAGATAATTAAATAAAGACTCTTGGGCTTAGGAAAACTTCAGAACAGGACTCCCCTTGGTAAATAAAGAAGCGGCTGCCTGGAAAAAATTTATTCCAGCCTTTTTTCACAAAGTGGACCCCAATAATTTCCATAGCCTCATGGGAAATACATCAGTAAACATATCGTTATGATATATATACATTGGTCATGTTCTAAGTTTTCATGGGAAAACAAGGTTTTATTTAAAATGCTCCTGGTACAAAACAAAATTAGGGGACAAAGGGTTTCATGTAACTGATACTCATTGTTATTTCATGGTATATATATTCATACCTTCCTGGTGTACAAGTCTTCTAGGATATTGTTTATGGTAATGATCTTTTTAAACTCAGTTATCTGCCTTTCTCTTGCACGCCAGCTACTTGTGATAAGAGGTACATGTCAAGCCAGAATGAGAGAATCAGTCAAATAATAGTTTTCTTAAAAACTTATGTGATATATGCAATATGTGTCACCACACTTAGGGATATTCAGTCACCAAACAGTTGAAACAACAGTTGAAACATGCTAAAATTAGAGGCTAGACATTATGAACTCCTAAGGTACATTTATGAACAATATGTATATTCTCTTTAGATGGCATCCTACTAAAGATAACAAATAAGAGTTTTCTTTATGTCATTTAATGTCTTCTGATTAGATGGAGGTGTTTCACTGAAAGACTGTTCCATACTAAGATGGACATGTAAGTGTTACAAAGAAAATGTCATCATGAATGTCATGTTAAAATACTATGTGCAGCTCTTGATCTTAAGTTTCTCTATAATATATAATCATTGTCTGTTAATATCCTGCAGGGATTCAACTACTAAAACAATCACGGCTGATAACAAATAACAGCCTTCTAACTGTGCTTTATACTTGAAAAGTGCTTGATGTTTTAACTATTGTAATAGTTAAGCTCACTATTCCTACTGAAATACTTATGTCACTGATCTTCTCTTCTGGGTGTTCAACAACTAAAGTTTGGAGACCAAAACTAGAAAGGTAACTGGGCTATGAGGACAGTCAATATTTTGGCCCCGGCCCCTCAAGATCAACAAAGATCTAGGTCACAAAGAAATCTTTCCTACAGGATCCTACATCTTTGGTAAGTCAATCAACCTCCTGAGCAGGGAGACTGCTGGGCACCAGAGGACAAATGTACCATGTGCCAAAGGAGGGTCACAAAGAGGAAAAAAATCTCCCACTCTTTCACTGAAAGAAACATGATCAAGCATGACCCATCCTGACAGCTGACACTGACAGAGGAGCTGAGAGGCTCTATGCATGGTTCCAAAGTAATGCCCAAGGAGACTTAACTGACCTTGATAGATAGCAAGAAGTTCATACTGATTGACACGTCTCACTTTAACTTGGTCTTAAACACCCAGCAGAAAAGAAGAAAAGAGGTATAAAAATAATGCCATAGTAATAAAGCTAGATATAAAAGGGGGCTCCAATTGCTGACTCTTTCTGGCAGTTTCCAGCTACACTGGTAGCTGACCATGGTTATGGATCATTAGGAAAAATCTACAGTAAAATCTATGAGCTCAGGTAGAGTTTTAAAATTCTTAGCGAGATTTGTTCAAATTGTCTCTTGTCTTCTTACAGCTAAAACTAGAGAGACTTATAACAAAGTATCAGACTTATAGATAACCACCATCAATAAAAGAGTCTAAGAGGTAACAGGTTACAATCACTCACTATTCCAGTATGTGTGTGACTTTCTCCCCAACCTGCCCTTTCATTCTCGTGTGCTCATGCTTAGATTTATCATGCTCTAATTTCTTAAAAGTTGTGTTTATTCTTGCCTAGAGGCTGCCAAACTCCAGTCATACAAATGGAACGTATGACAAATGTGCTAGACTTAGCAGTATCCACCAGATTGACCTCGTAATCAGCTCATAACTGCCAAACTATACAATACAACTTCTATGTTGGATTCTGAAGTCCCCTGGGCCTTCTTATCCTCTTTGTGGGAGGCTATTACTAGTTCCTCCCAGTGGAAACATTTATTGGCTATATTCATAGCAATCCTGCTGACCTTATAATCTGGCCTATGTACTCTTTTTTTTTTTTGGCCCATGTATTCTTAACTGTTTCTTTGACTTTGTCTCCTCCAGACACAAAGCTATACAGCTACCAAGATGACAATGCCTGGTGCCTATCAAAGGCCTTTAGATAGACTCTCTGTAGAGTAACTCTGACCGCTGATCACAACTATGACCCTCTTCAGCTGGAAGTAGCCAGAATGGTCTTCATTCTTTGCCACCCCCACAGCAGTTAGGGGTACTTCTTCAGAGGGGGAAATATTGCAGATAGGTAAGTTAATTAGATATTTTGTAGGCAGTTAGGCCAGTCCACAAGGAGCCAACATGGAGGACAGTGAAGATACATACACTGAAGGCCAGCATTGTAAAAGGAGAGAATCTACCACACCCATGTAGGGTGAATAGCAGAGATTGATATTCTAAACAGGTATCAATCACCTGGGTGGGGGGGCAAGGTCTTAACCCAGCCTTTCTGGGAAATATCCCTGACCCACCCTTACTGAAAATCCTTGTATGCTTGCTGCATGATTTGCTCCCCCAATTGACCTCCATTTAATCAATACTACCTGGGTGACTATACTTGTCATGGTTTTGCCCTACCTCATGCCCACCTTGTAAATTTCCATTGGGTCTTATAGTTTTGTTCCACTTTGTACCCACCTCACCACATGGCTTTGCTGTATAAAACAACTTTGAGAAGTGGGGTGGGCGGCAACCCACTTTCTGGTGCCCTTTCTGTCTTTCTTGGGCAGAAGCTTTTTTCTCCCAATAAATTTTTCCTACTCTTAAAAAAAAAGAAAAAGAGGGCCAGAGATTTAGCTCAGTAGTTCCGGCGGCCTGCCTCGCAAGCACGAGGTCCTGAGTTCGATCCCCGGTACAAAAAAAAAGAAAAAAAAAATCCTACTGGTAACTATCTAGAAGGATAGTGAGAGGGGAGTGAAAAGAGAGAGAGAATCCTAAGCCTAACCATAGAACCTTCCTAAGTCTTCATAACTTATTAAAGACCAAGTGTCAAAACCAGGGCCAGAGAGAAACTCATTACTCGCTGCAGAACAAAGCATCTTAATATAACCAGACATATCACAGGTTCCTTCTGTTTCTTCCTAATATCTCTCAAAAACCTCCCCAAAGTGGTAAGATGCTTACATGTTCTAGGAAGCAGGGTCCTATTTCGCTGAGGTGGGGGTCATCATTGTTGTACTGTTTCTCCAGGTCTCTCACAAAGCCCATCTGAAACCTGTAGATGTCTTCAATGTTCCCAAAGATGATCTTCAGTTGTTCATCACTGAACATGTCCCTTCTCTTCCGACACTGCTTCAGGTATCCCTGCAGCAAAGGAAAAGTCTAGGATGAGGATGACTCCCACTCCCAAGGAGCTTTACTGCTACTTAACCATTTGAGAGCCTCCTTTCAATTCCAAGAATAAAGCAGAAATTAATTATTTTCATTTGTCATGTGAAGAAACTGAGATTTAGAGAAGAATGTAATTACAATAGTAAATGTTTAAAGAAGGCTGGAGCAGCAAAGCTCTTCAGAGTATAGACTCCACAGAGCTGGAAATAGTGGCACATACCTATATTTCCAGCACTCAGGGAGGCTGAGATGGGAGGATCACAAGTTGAAGACCAGCATGAGCAACTTAACAAGACTCTGTCTCAAAATAAAAAATGGTTGGGGGTGTAATTCAAAAGGTCCTGAGTTCAATCCTCAGTAACACAAACACACACACACACCCCCCATTCCACACTGTCGGCCTTTTCCCACTATATATGCATGCTTGGGCATATTTTCATTTTAATATATATTGATTTAGTTGGCTACATCTATTCAGATCTCTGAAGTTCTAACCTTATAAGATAAACCCCAAAGTCTTAATAATATTGACAATAATCTGGCAACGGAGTTCAGGATAGAAAAATTTCTAATAAGGGAATGTGAATTGACATTCATTTTCTAAAGTTAATATCTCAGCTATCTAAAGTAGGCAGCCAAAAGAGATCATTTGGATAAGCTCAGCTAGCAAGCCCATGAATGCCTGGGTATGGTATTTCTAAAACTGTTTAGGACACATCTGTGAATAAAGGGATGAATTAATACAGCTAGTCCCAGATAAACGGAGAAAAGGGAATCAAAGAAATTCTTTGAGGGGCGGGGATTTAGCTCTGGTTTTGCTGCCTGCTGTGTGAGTGCAAGGGACCAGAGTTTGATCCCCAGTACCCACCCCCCCCAAAAAAGAAATTCTTTGATAAGACAGCACTGAAGTAATGTAAACAAAGTCAGGGCACATTATAAGTCTGCATAAAAAAAATCATAACTAAAACTAGGTCTTCCATTTTGAACCTATAGGTGTGGATTTTTTAAACATGATTACTGTCCTCATTGGAAATCATTAATACATAAAAATATTCTTAGTGAGAATAAATTACAGTCATTTGTTTTCATTTAAAAGTTCGGAGCAAATTTCTTAATTTGCTTCTTAAGTGTTCAGGAATCCTATAGAAGCTGATTTACCACATCGAGCCCTGTCTCTAACCCCACTTTTTCTCCCCAACATAGCAGTCAAAGAGGCTGTTGAGGCACATATCAGAAATATTGTCATCCCTGGCTTCAATTCTCTCTACCAACCTCAAACAAAATTTCAATTCCCTAACTCTTCTCACTTTCCAATTTGGCCATTAATAAATGGCCAAATTAATAAATTTGTCCTTCAACAGTTTGTAAATTAATAGTCTGTCTGTTTTGGCAACTATTTAACTAATGGCTATTGCCCTCATTGATATGTTCAAGAATTCTTACATTATTTTCACATCCAATTCTTGACTAGAAAGAAGATGCCCTCTATTTCCCATAATAAACTTTTGGCTTCCTTCCTTTTACTGAAGTATCTCCCAAAATTCTGTTTCCCTAGAAAACCTTCTTTCATGAATAAAGAGAGTGGCAATAAACTCCTGTTGGCTCCCTCCTTATCTAACATGTAATGGCCATGGCTTAATCTGTCTAAGGTGGTGTGTGCCTTTGTGTCTGCCTGTGTCTGTCAGTGTCTCTTTCTCACTCTACTCCCTTTGAAAGTACCTTATCTACAATCTAGCAGGGAGAGGGCCAGGGATTTAGCTCAGTGGTTCTGCTGCCTGCCTCGAAAGCACAAGGTCCCAAGTTCAATCCCCAGTACCAAAAAAAAAAA